TTGGCGGGCTTCCCCGGTTTCAGCAGTGGGACCACTCTCCCTGATTTCCACACATCAGGAATGATGAGAGTGGTCATAGACAAATTGAGGACCTCCGTGAGGTATTCTACCCCCACAGGCCCCAAATTTTTCAACATCAGCATATAGATTCCGTCGGGTCCAATGGCTTTGGAGGCTTTCGCCTTCCCGATGGCCCCCTTCACTTCACCGCTGGTGAAAACAAGTGGTGCATCGTTTTTGGGCAGTTTGTGCAGCCTCCTGGTCACTCGACGTTTGGCCTTGGCTACCGAAGGATGCAGTGTGAATTGCCGACTGAAATAGTTCGCGCATTTCTTCGGGTCCGATGAGGCGTGACCTTCGAATGAAATTTCCACTCTGTCATCACGCTTCGTCGGGTTGGACAAGGACCTCACGGTTGACCAGAGCTTACTCACACCAGAGGTGAAGTTACAGGCCTTCAAGTGCTCTTCCCACTTTGTCCGCTTGTGTTGATTAACCAGTTGCCGAATCTCCAAATTAAGTTCCCTCAAGCGAGGGTCCCCGGGGTCGACCTGGCGTAGGTGGTCACGCTCATTTGCTAGTACAGCTGCTTCAGCCGGGAAATTTGGGCGGACTTCCGCGATGCGTCCGGATGGTATGAAGCGAGCTGCTGTGGCTGTGACTACCTTGCGGAACTGGCGTTCGCCAGCATGTACGTCTGTGGGTGTGGGGAGGGCGGCGAAGCTGCTCTCGGTAACTTCCGCGAAGCCGTTCCAATCAGCTTTGTTGAAGTTGGTGTAGGTTCGGTGATCCGCGGGAGCAAAGTCGGTGGGCTTATTGATCGAGATGATTATGGGCAGATGGTCTGATGCTAACGTTAGCATAGGGCGCCATGATATGCTATTTATCAGACCAGCGCTAGCAATTGTTAGGTCTGGCGAGCTGCTGCAGCTGCCCACAATCCTGGTGGGGGCGTCGTCGTTCATGGTGCAGAATGTCGAATCGTCTATCTGCTCAGCCAAACTGTTTCCCCTCCGATCATTGGCCAGGCTTGAGTGCCAAAGATCGTGGTGCGCATTGAAGTCACCTACTACCAATCGGTTTTCGCCTCTGAGTAGCGCACCTATGTCAGGGAGATATCCAGCCGGGCAGCAGGTGACAGGGGGTATGTACACGTTAAATATTTCGAGCTCGACATCGCCTGACCGGACAGCTATGCCCTGACATTCTAGGGTAGTGTCCCTTGGGTCGATGTCTTCTTCGATTAGCCGATACTGCACTGTGTGGTGTAGAATGAACGCTAGTCCTCCACCATTATCTCGCTCGCGATCTTTACGGAGCACATTGTAGGCGGCGCAACCCAACAGAGTTGGGTTGCTGTGCAACTTCGTTTCTTGGACCGCAGCTATCAATATGCCGTGCCGACCCATGAAGACTGCTATCTCCTTAATCTTGCTCTGGAGTCCGTTGCAGTTGAGTTGGAGTACGTTCATGTGCCTTGGGAGGCTGGTCGCGATACGGGGGGTGAGAGAAGTGCTCATATACACTCCTCCCCTACAAGAACAGTGGTAGTCATTTGATTAATCATGTGTAACTCAATGGTGATGGAAATGTCCATCAAACACTCCCATCACGTTTTTAAGGCCAATGTGCAAAAAATTATGAAAACAAATGTATACATGTGATTTTTTATCTTCTTTCAACTTATGGCGTTATTTAATGGTCTCTTTTGAACCAACGTTTTGAACCAACGCAAAATTTGCAATGTGTTAGAAAGATAAATGAGATTGTGTAGTTTCCATAACCCAATTCTTGTAGGGTCGTCATTTGAATTACGCACCCTTTTAATCCTTAGTTTACAGTTTTCCTTTTGTTCATTTAATATTAATTTTTTGTAAAAATATTGCATATTTTACGGGTAAATGCAATTTTAAAATTTTTTACAAATTAAAACTTAAAAAGAAAATTTCTTTTCCATTTCTTGGGCAGCATTTTATATGATTTTTTCGTTTTTCTTGAGCTGGAAACAATTCTTAAAAAATGCCAACAAATGAGTATGCCATTATAACGGCCTGCCGTGAATAAGTTAATAATATTTTTAGAAAAATTTCGGATAAGCAGTTTTGTAGCCCATTATAATAGTATAATAAAGTGCAAGTTTCAAGTAAAATAGCGCTGATTTAAAAATTTTTTTTTTATTGACGGTGCTGCGCATTTTATTCCATATAAAAATTTTGTCGAGCATGCTTTGTATGAAAGAAAATGCGCAGCACCCTCACCAAAAAAAAATTTCAAAAATCAACGCGATTTTACAGACACTTGAAACTTGCACTTTATTCGACCCCTTTGTTGACATTTTTCTTAAATCTGTATAAAGTTTTAAAATCGGATGTAATGAATATTAAATAAACAAAAGGAAAAATGTAAATAATAAGAATTAAAAGGTTGAGCCAAGGTACATTGAACAGGTAGTATCAGTAGAGCAGCTGATTTGATTTATTTTCAAATTATTTGGTCTCGAAAATGTCAAATATTTTTAATTTTTTTTCACAAAAATTCTGAATTGTTAAAATCCATTTGCATGTGAAACCTTTTTCCATACAAAACAAGCGATTGAATAGCAGCTTTTGGAACGTTCGCCCAACTCAGCAGCACGACCGCTGATTACTGGGCCTTGCAAAGGATGGATCAATGCTTCGAGAAGCAAACAAATTTACTAGGAAAGAAAGTTGCATCAATTTTTATTTTTTCCAATTTCAATTTTTTATTTTTTATAATTTTTTGTATTTCACATGGCACGCTTTGATTTAGAAGAAAAAATTCAGAACAGTTTTTGACACTTTCGATACCAGAAGCAACAACAAAATACACGCAAATGTTGTTTTTGCTCTACTGATACTACCTGTTTAATGTACCTTGTCAGGGAGTCTGGTGTTTATTGAAAACAAAACATAAAAAACAAACAATTAGGCACATATGTATGTAAATAAAAATTATNGGTTGAGATATTCAAATGACGAGGAGTGTATGTGGCGTACGTTTGGGAGAGCGGGCCTTTTTACTCCAGTATGCGTGTGCAGTAGCTATCATTGGTATACATGTATTAGTAAGATTCGTTGCCCTCTTCATATTTGCCCGTGATTTACCCCTCATGTAGCCCGAGAAATGGGCTCGCTTGCTCGTGTGGGCAAAAAAGCCACTACGGGCAAATGTACCCATGTCTGGGCTAAACCAATACCTCAGCAGAGTGAATGCAGATATACCCAATGAGTGCGCGCCCTGCGGAGAGTCGCCACATGACTCACGGCACCTTTTCGCATGCCCCCAAAACCCCACCCAGCTAGCGCCCCTGTTCCTATGGACAGACCCGGTGCAAGTTGCACACTTCCTGGGCCTCCCCTTAGCTGAGGCTGACGGCAACGTTGACGGACAAGCCGACCCGAGCGGGGCTTAGTAGCCGCTACAACAACAACAGCAGTTTTTATACTAAGTAAATCAACATCTGTTGTAAGCATTTTCATTAGAAAATACCAGAAATTAAGATTAACCGTGGAGACTATAAGACGTTGTATTACCATGACCATGAACGCCTATACTAACCTTAAAACCTTTAGGACCATTAGCATGATGTCCCTCTTGCTAAAATTTCAGGAGACATTGGTTGAATTGGGCACTCGTATGGAGGCGCTTTCGTTACACGTTCTACCCCGGCATCAACATGACTATCAGGCGGGGAAATCTTATATGACGGCTCCGCAAAATCTGGCTACCAGAGTTAGTAATGCCATCACTGAGAAATAGATCGCCTTGGGCTTGTTTGTAGACGTTGGGGGCGCTTTTTACAACTCCACCTTCGATAGCATGCGCAACTCGAGTCTAATGCACGGCTGATGACCCAACCAAAACTAATGTTGTGCTCTTCACTAGAAGGAGAAGGTCTGACGGTCTTCTTCCCCCTGCCCTTAATGGAGTAACAATTCAAATTTCTTCATAGGTAAAGTATTTAGGTGTAATCTTTACTGGAAGTCTCACGTTGATCAAAATACCTCCAAAGCCTTAGCAGCGCTCTGGCAATGTCTTTGGTAAAACGTGGAAAAGTCACCTGGAGGAATCCTGTCGATTCACACCTCTATGATAATGCCCACGTTCAGCTATACATCCATGGTGTGCTGAAGTAGACTCCCAACCAATAACGTGGGAAATTTGTTGCCAAACTTAAAAAAATTCGTTGAATTTCGCGTGGAGTGTTCTGTAGGTCATTTGTACTAAATCACGCATTTATGGAATTAGCAACTTTTCATTGAAAGAAATAAATCTTTTTGGAATTAGCAGGATTTATTTCCAATAATTTTTAGCGATCCTAAATACTTGTCCTTTTTTTTGTTATTTATGGCCTTATAACAATTATATTCAACAATTTTATTGAGCTAGAGGCCGTTTTACGTGGCGAACTTAGCTCAGTGGATAGACCATATAGGCTTTGTAATTCGAGGTCGCTGGTTCATCTCCCAGTGACCGCGATGAAAAAGTCTAATGAGGAGATGAGGTAATCTCCGAAATAGCAGCCATAACTTCTACCTCTGCATAAATTATTGTTGTTTTTCCGCACTAATTTTCATTAAAAACGGCCTAAAGCTCAATGAAGTTGTTGAATATGATTCTACATTCTACATACTCAAAAAATATGTGCTTTCAGCATGTAGACATATATCTCCCCTTTCCATCAGTATCAAAAAGTTATTTATTTTAGTTCAGTCCAAACCGAAAATAAAGAGGAAGTTATTTTAATTCCTCGTTCATGGATCTTCTATTATTTTAAAGCGGTGTACTACATTTGGACCATAATGCTTTTGCGAAATAAACACTTTTCCCAATTCGGATTTATATTCGCATAAGAAATATGTTGACATATTACCATTTTTCTTAGATTTTGAAATATTTTTGAGTTACTTCCTTTAAACGGTCTCACTATCCAGAATCGATTGAATTATTAAAATAAAAAAGGCCAAAAGAAAACTTACGTTATAGAAACTATGAAAGAGGCGCACCTTGCCATCACCTAAGGACACCATGGTAATACCCATGTCGTAAATAGCCCGCAAATGGTCAGGATTACTCGCTTGAAATTCCAAAGCACGTAGTCGCTTTCCAGTGGGTACTCGGGGACAGGAACCCGAAATTAAGTTGCGCAATGGTTTACGTAATTTTTCCGGAAAAAATTTATTAGAGTTGGGACATGTACGCATAAAGTCTAGAACGTTATGTTCATCAGTTTGCCTTAGACCTATAATTTTTTTGAAAATTACAATTTTTAATTGCCAAGTAAATATATATCGCCGTTTAAAGTGCAAAACCGCGTATCAACAAAATGCAAAACCGCGTATCAGCAAAATGCAAAACCGCGTATGTGAAGTTGTAGAAATTATTTTCTAGAGCGTAAAAACACTCATATTTCAAATTGGTTCTCTCTTTTAAAAAGCAATCGCATTTCTGGATAGTATATTTCAGGACGAATGGATAAGGATTGAGCCAAGAGCTTGTGTGATCAAATCCAATTTTTGGCAGCCAGTGTCAGTTACGCGGTTTTGCAGAATGACGATACGCGGTTTTGTACTTTAAATGACGATATGTATTAATGTAAAAACATACTAAATGTTGTGTTTCCCAGTTGTGCGATAGTTAGTGGTAATAAATGCGCTTCTGTAGTAAAGACAAACTCGTCGACATTAACTACTAAATCTTGAGGATCTGAAAATAACAGAAACAAGTATTTGAATGTTTCAGAGAGTACAAAGGAATCCATCCGATCCTCATGTTTTCCGGTGCGAACATCATTTACAGCCGCATATCCACAAGGAACTTTTGCGTATTTCTGCAGTGCCTTTAACGCCTTTTTGCCAACTTGTAAGTAATGGTGGTCTCCAGTTGCTCTATAAAGAAAGTATGTGGATTCAATAAACTCAGGCCGCAGATGGTGTTGTCCCCAGTGAATTTGAAAATCAACTGTAAATGCTTCTGGAATGAACGTGTGCATTTGCATTACTTGGTAAAGCATTTCATGTGTTTGTACAGCTGGTTTTATGTCTCCCGATAGCACTTGAAGGCCAGGCCAAAATGCCAATAATGAATCCATGAAATTGCGTGACTTTGCATGAGGTCTATGCATGAGTACATCCAACAGCATTGGACCTTCGCTAACATATTTCATAACTGCATTGTAATGACGGTTGAAACGCGCTAAGTATTTGTCATCGCCCAATAAAACGTATGATTTGAATAAATACTCATAGTATGAATCAATACCAGCTCCAACTCCCGAATCACGACGTACCCAATCCCCAGAATGTACATTAAGTACAGTGCCCATTAAATCAGAGCCTCTATGCCGCAGCTTCCAAAGCGCGTCCATGGCAGTGTGAGCACGTGCTTCAAATACAGGATCACCTTTGAACATATCGAATATAAATTGATGAAAAAAGTTAAACACAACACATATCTACTTACCAGATAATCGAGATAACGCAGCGAATTCTAGTAGAATAGTACCCGCACATGCCGTACATGTTTCCCTTGATTTTCTTAACTGCTCATCTTTCATGCCGTTGCGTAAATTGACCCTTGCATGCGGAATTCCTGTTGATGTGTTAAATGCCGGTAATAGGCGATATGCCAAATCACGAGCCATCTCTAGCATTTCTCCTTTGTACCACAGCATAACACCATTATTCTTCTGTATATGGTCCGTCAAAACATGTGCCGATAGTAAACCCCCAACCATGCGTATATTTGTCTCGAAAACGGAAACTACTATATCGTTGTCGAATCGTACGTCCTGTATTACTAATTTAACGGCTCGTTCAAATTCATCAAAATCTCCCAACAGCACTAGTGTGTCAAGGGAATCAACCAAAGTCATAGAAAAGCTGAAAAAGTTAAAATAGCAAATTGTTGTAAGCTTGCATGTGTACTGCTTATAATTTGCATGCGTCACTAGTCCTTAATCCTCTAACCGTTTTCTTTTTAAGAATCATCTTAAATCCCCCATAATTCTAGTTGTTGGTAGTTAGGCAACTCTGAGCAATGTTTCAAACTCACTTTCAATTTAGCTGTACGCTGGATGTAAAAACAATTTGACCGTCTGTAGACAAAGAGGTATGTTTTCTTCTTCTGTTTGATCAAAAATGTATATATATGAAAAAATAAAGGTAAAGGACCGTCTACAGACGGTCGACAGTCACCAAAAAAAAACACTGTAAATATATCGAGCCGTAACCGCGAAATTAACGTAAGCGACATATTTTTCGAAATTAGTTTTTTGATGTAGAATTGTTCTTAAACCGATAACAAGTCAACTGTTAAAAAATTGTATCGTCAATCGTCATAGTCACAGAGATATACGACTTTCAATTTTATCGTAAGCGACATCTGCTGTTTTGAGTTACCGTAAAAATAAAGTAAGCAACATGGAAGCTAGTTGTGACCTGTAAATACTGACTTTAAATATATATTTTTATACATTTATTTATGTTTTTATATATGTCAATGTGTACAAAAAAGAAAATAAAATAAGTTTTTTCAAAGTTTTTTGGGGAAATTCAATTAACCTAAGCGCCAAATGTTTGTCTAGTAGCCTGCCATGGTTACAGCGAAATTAACGTAAGCGCCAAATTCACTAATTTCGCCTACAAATTAAGTTAAATGAAGATAAAAATTAGTCTATGACTTGTATTGAACTGTAGTCTAACATTTAGAATTTCAAAGATATTTTCTAAACGGATTAAGAAAAAAACAAAAAAATTTCTCTCCTGTAAAATTTGCTTTTTGGCGGTTACGTTTTTTTCGCGGTTAGGGCTCGATATATGGGGTATTCTTTCTAAACTATGTTAAGAGACTTTCTTCGCTGAAGTTTTTATTATGCTCCTTTTTTCGCGGTCAACTTTTGAGGTCGCGCCTTTATTCGTGTCTAGTGACGATATCACATACATGAGCCATTCTTACCGTTATATATTTTTTGTCTAAGTGTGAAGAACAACCGGTTTTATAAAGGTTTTGTAAGACTCTACTCGTAGACTGTGCTTTTATAAGGGTTTTATAAGGCCCTTAATAAAGAACAAATCGTCACTAGACACGAATAAAGGCGCGAGCTCGAAAGTTGACCGCGAAAAAAAACTTCAGCGATGAAAGATTCTTAACATAGTTGGCGGCGAAGACGCGTAAGCTTATTTTCGTGGTCAACTGTTTGCGGGTGTAACAGTATGTAAATTACCCAAAGAGTTTTTGGGGAATGATGCTGAAATGACAGTCCTTAGCCAGGTATAATTCTATGTCTACGCGTCTTTCTTCTCCGAAGTTTTTCTTAAGCGTCTTTTTTTGTAAATTTTGTTTGCGCTTTTTTTTTTTTTTGTTAAAATACTAGCGCGACTTGAGTGTGTTTAGTGACGATATATTCTGGGCCATTCCATTGTGACTAGTGGGACATTTTACTCCAGAATGTGATCAATTGTGAATTTTAACTATGTCGTCGGAACTTATACAACAGCGAAAGATATTTTTTAACATAGAACGATAACTAATGTATAAAATTGCTTTAACAAAAGTAGCAAACGATTTCTTAGTTTTATGGAACTGTCATTTGAATTAGTGTGACTGGCGGGACACTGAAAAGAACTCTATTTTACCCTTGTGCACTCAAAGTTGAATTTTAGCCAAAACACTTAATTTTCACGAACGATGTATTTGTGTTGTAAAATATGAATTATATGCTTTTGTTTTCAATAAAAATGAGGTTTATATAATGTTCATAGAAATATTAAAAAATATTTAAAGTTGTGACTGGTGGGACATCTCTTTGTGTCTGGTGTAAAGTAATTATGCATGAAATAAGTTTCCATAGACAAAAATTACAACTTCTTTTGATTTTTTTACTATTTTCCCACAGGTTAATGAATTGTAGTCCTTTAAAAAGAGGTTACTGCTGAAATATAGACAATTAGGGCATATTTCAATTTATGTCGTTTTCCTCTTTTCAATGTAATAACCCTTCTAAAAGAGTTTTATAAGGCCCTGTATGTATACATATTTTTATAAGACTCCAATTCATCATAAGTGCAAATTTTAAGTTTTAGATATCTATACATTTTTTCCATTCAGAGTTAGCAGCAAGCAAATTTATATACTTCTATAAATGTAGATTTTTAGAAAAAAAGACCATAAATACTGTTCAGTCATACTATTTCGTATTTCGCTAGATAAGAACAATGCTTTGTTTTAAAGATATATTTATACCTCTATAAATTTTTCTGTGTAGATTAATTGTTCCGCTTCGTCGGATTCATGTTGAAAAAGATAATGAATACTTTTATATCACATAGATAAATGTTCCGTGAAAATTTCTTTATTCACTTTTTTCATTTTTCTTAGTGTTACCGCGTATTACTGGTTGACTTGGAATTTCCATAAGTCTTTGTGATTTACTTAGTCTCTTTAGGGTTATGTTTTTTTTAAGAAAAATTGTAATTCTAGTTTGATTACTTTCATGAAAATTATTAACAATTCTTAAATATACATACCATCAATAAAAAAATAAACCTCGATGTGCTAGAAATGAACGAGGCTGTATTTTAATTAAACATACCTAGATATTCAAGAAATAACATAATTATTGGAAGAAGGAAAATAAAGTTAAATCTCGCAGACCTGTTTATACTCAGTGCTCTTCGCGTAGACTTTTTAGACTTGGAAATTACCGGTGTTTTGTATGATCTTTATCTATTCAAAGGAGAAATAGTATGTAAAGGCTCTTCACGTAGATTGTTTTGGATTTGAATATTTATGATATGAGGGCTTTGTATAAATTTGCTCAGTTCATAAAGGAATCACCTAGCATTGTCAAACTCTCAAAGTACACTATTTGGGATTTTAATACACAAATTTGTTTTATAAGTGTCTTTCGATAGAAATCTGGCTGTAACCCCATATTTTGTACGTATTTTTAATGAGAAAAAAAATCAAGTTCGAAAGGCTAAAGATTCCACTTAGACTTATTTCATCGTCAGTCAACGTTCCATGCTACAACCTCGCCAAATTTATGGGGAAAACATTAAAAAATATAGTCTCAGAAAGCTACAACATAAAAACTCCCTCCAACTTGGTACTATGGAATGCGGATGGGGAACCCTTTATCCCCAACCGTAGCCGATGTTGTCTTAGGCAAAATACTGGACGATAGTATCGCTGAACTTAGATCTAAGGGCATACATATAAAATACATAAAAAAAAATATGTAGATGATATTTTTGCCATAATAAAGAACACGGACGTGGAGGTTATACTCAAAACATTTAACGCACAGCATACAAAAATTATTTTTATTTTTTATTTTTTTTTTTATTTTAACAAAGCTTATATAATAAAATACAATATTATTATACAAACTAAAGAACGCAGCACTAGCTACATAGGCTTTCGGCTGAAATACAAAAATTAAATTCACAACAGAAGAGGAAAAATATAAGAGGTTAGCCTTCCTAGATGTGGAAATCCATCGAGACAATAACCAGATTAAACTGAACTGGTATTCAAAAGCTGTGGCCTCATCCAGGATGATACATTTTCATTCAAATCATCCATGGAATCAGAATGGCATGAACCTAATTGAAAAAAATTATAAACTCAGCGACCAGGAACTCAGAAGAGAGAACAACAAGAAAATTAAAACCATCTTATACAAAAATGGATACTCTAGCGCGCTCATAGAAAGACTTTTAGCAACAACAATTAACAAAATAGAAAGCGCGAACAACAATATCGCTAGGCAAATTTATAAACAACCAAACAATAAGTTATGTGCATCGACCGCATGGCACACTCAACATAATTTTTACCAAAACAAGACAAAATAAACAAAGAACAACAACACAACTTCATATATGAGATGATATGCATCGACAAAGAAACGAACGCTGCAGCAAAGTATATATACATATGAACGACGAAGCGAGTTTTAGGAGTCAGAATCAACGAGCATAAAACAGACGCGAAAAATAGAAAGATGACAACTGCATTAGCCCAGCACCTGGCAAAAAGCACACAGCGGACTTCGATAATACAAGAGTAATAGACATCAAGAGAAAAACATAGAAAAGGATGACATTAGAAGGGCTTCGGATAAAGCAACAAATACACTGTACAAAGAATTATAAAGAAGATGTGGACAACATAAATTGCGCATACACAGCAATAATAGCGAGTAATAGACGAACAGCTGGGATGTTTTTGTATACATGTTTGTTAATTATGTTTTCTTGTAAAAATAAATAGACTCCCTGAAGAAGACACAATAATGTGGCGAAACGCTTAGGAGGCAAAAAAGAAAAATCAACGATTTTGCTTTAAATTCAACGGCCGAAAAGCTCCAAATATACATACAACACAAAAAGTTAAAATTTTCGTTTTCTTATTAGAATCTTTTTCTGTCGAGGAGCGACCATTAAAAAAACCTTTTTTAATTTAGATATTGCTCGGGCCACGGATCGAATCAGGCCATACGGAGAGGTAGTACGCACCTTTAACCAATCAGATACAGCTGTTCATAAAATTAAATTCAGAAAAAATACCGGAAAAGTTAGACGGAGTCCTGATATTATTATTCAAATGACATTTCATTTTCTAAAATATTTCAGATTCATTTAGGCTCTACATAAGGTGTTTTATATTGAATAAATTTACATATTTTATAAACTCATTGGGCCGTATGAATAAAACCAAGGCGCATCAATACAAGGTGGTGTTGATTGAACAGCTGATTGGATATTTCTGTCTCTACACTAAATATATGCTTAAAAATATGCTTAAATACACTAGTACAGGAGAATGTCATCCAAGACGATATGGCGCAACTTTAGGATGTCAACAAAACAAAATGACGAAAATTATCTCCTATTCCCTTTCGTTTTGACATCCCGATGT